GAAATTGAAAAAAAGAAGAACGATCAGGAAAGAAAGACAATCGGTTGGAAGGCTTCCACCTTTAAGTCTGGGCTCAGTCCAGAACTGAAGGAATCGTTTCGTTTTTTTTCTGTCGGCGGTGGCGCGGGGATTGTGACGAAGAACGGTACGCTTGTATTTCCCGCAAAGGCAATGACGAAGGAGGAGAAAGAGGTCTCACTGATCATGTACTCCAGTGATCCGGAGAAGGATTGGAGGCTGTCGCAGGGGATGACATCCGAGGACTGCGTGGATCCTGCCGTTGTGGAGTGGGGGAGCGGGAGACTTTTGATGATGACTGCGTGTGAGGAGGGCCACCGCAAGGTGTACGAGTCGAGCGATATGGGGAAGACGTGGACGGAGGCGCTCGGGACGCTTTCACGCGTATGGGGCAACACACTTGAGCGTGACGGATCCGGCGGTCAAAGTGGCTTCATCACCGCGACGATTGAAGAAAGGGACGTGATGCTCGTCACCCTGCCGGTGACTTTGAAAGACAACTTAACCGATCAACTCCATCTTTGGCTCACTGACGCCGCCCACATTGTGGATGCTGGGCCGATATCCAACGGAAGTAAGCAGGCGACTGGCAGTGCCCTGCTGTTTAGGGGCAAGGAGGAGTTGATCTCCTTGCAGGAGCTGAGTTCAGTGGGAGTGAGTGGTGGTGTGGGGATGTCTGAGGGCCTTCACCTTGCGCACCTGACGGAGCAGCTGGAGAAGATAAAGAAAGTGGTGAAAACATGGAAGGAAGTGGATGCACGTGTCAAGCAGTTGTGCCTTTTGGCAGAGCCCGATGCGGCTGCCTTTCCTGGCGCGGGCTGCAGCAACCCGGCGCCCACTGAAGGGCTGGTTGGGTATTTGGCCGGCTCTTTTGCAGAGGGCCAATGGAAGGACGAGTACCTCGGGGTGAACGCCACTGTAATGAGTGGAGAACTGGCAAGCACGGAGGGGACTGGCAATGGGGGCGTGATTTTCAAAGGGCGTGGTTCGTGGGCTGAGTGGCCGGTGAGCAAACAGGGGCAGAATCAGCGGTACCACTTTGCGAACTACAACTTCACTCTTATGGCGACGGTGATGATCCACGCGGTGCCGGAGGCGGCCAGCAGCCCAATTCCTCTGTTGGGTGTGAGGCTGAACGACAACACTGTGCTTTTGGGTCTGTCGTACACGAAGGAGAGGCAGTGGAGTGTGCTTTGCAGGGGCGGAGAGAGATGCGATCGCACCAGCACGTGGGAGCTAAATAAAAAATACCACGTTGCGATCGTGCGGGAGGGCGACAGCCAGGGCTCCGTGTACGTTGACGGCCAGCGTGTGGGGAGCTCACAAGCGGCACTGCAGTGCGAAACGAAGCCGTGCACGATCTCACACTTCTACATTGGCAGGGACGGCGGCGTCACAGAAGAGACAGCGAGCGACGAGGGCCGTGTGACGGTGACGAACGTTCTGCTGTACAACCGCCCGTTGGGTGGCACGGAGATTAGTGCCCTTCACAAGAGAAAAGTTTCCATTCCAGCACCGGAAGATGTGAAATCACAAGGCGACGATTCTGCTCGAGTTCAAGAAACTTCCAGTAACCATGCGAGCGACACTTCACCCCAAACCGTGCCGGAGTCTGCGCTCTCGCCGACTCCTCACAAGGCCGTGGCCACGGAGCTGAGACCCTTGGAGAGGGAGATTGAGACTAAAATAGTGGCGCAACTGGAAGACAAACACGCGGATGGATGTGGCGGTGCGAAACAAGTGCTGCTGCCGCTGCTTCTGTTGGGCGTGTGGGTGTTTGCGGCACTGTGAGAAGTGTGCGGTCTCTGTGCGGGGCATGTGCGCCTTCTCCCGCACACACACACACCGCCGGGAATAAATTCCTCTTCACGGGGGACGATTAAATTTTTGTTTTGTTTTTATTGCGACCAGGGAGGACATGAGCTCGCAGCGGTCCACACCGCAGCCACGCTCTGCCGCGTTCTCCTTTTTTTTTCTTTTTTCTTTTTTTTTCAATTATTCCCACTGTTTTTTTTTGTTGGAGCCGTTTGTAACATCGTTTGTTGTTTGTTGTCCTCCGCGGACGGGGCGTGCTGCTG